TTCCACTTTCATTAGTAACTGTGCTGTTGTTTACAGCAACAGTTTTTGTTGGAGCACAAGTCCAGATTTTCATATTCTGGACACATCTAAATGTTGCCTTAGAAAAATTAGATTTTTTTCTTTAACATTGCTCACAAAGAGGAGACAAGGAGTTGGCAAAGCAGTTTGATGCTTATGCTACAATTGGCCTCTGCTTTGCTACCAAAAATAAAATGTAGATCTCATTTTCTAAGCAAAGACAAGTATCAGCTGTTCTTTTTGTCAAGCTTCCATATTCTATTCAATGCGAAGATTATTTTTTTTTTCAACTCAATTGAGCAAGGTAATCTTCAGCTGTCCACTTGGATTTACATGGCTTAGATCAAGAAATCCACACACTGGCATTTAGAATATTGGCAGAGACGCTGTGGATGTAATCGAAAGCTGAAGCATGGCTTTGTCCTTCCAGTGCACATGCATCTATGAAAATAGTATTGACTAGGCAGGTCAAATCAAATGTATGTACCAGCAAATTTCTCAATTACTTAAGGTAAGCTCTGTGCTATTATCATCTGCTTTCATTACAGCAAGAGTGATGGCAAGCAGGCTAATGTAAACAGAGTGCTTGGCTTGAATTATTGAAAACAGAGTGTTCTTGGTGTTTGTCTCATCTGAGACACTGTCTACTTAATGACCTGGTTGTTTGCCTTTCTGTCTTCCTTATATCTGAAAAAATATTAAAAACAAAAGAACTTGTGGGAAGTTATACCGTGAAGATTTCCAAAGCCTGAATTAATTGCCTGTCATACATTGGGATGTTTTGACAGTGGAGATTGTTGTATTTGCCATGTAAACATATTTGAAGGACAAGTAGTGCTGTGCTTCAGTTAAAGTTGCTGTGAAACCATAACTCTGATGTTAAAAAATATATATCTATCTGCTTTATTCAAGGAAAGATTTTCATTTGGCATTTTTATTTCCAGAATGCAGCAGTCCTACCCCAGGTCCTGGTAAGGAATGGGAAGAATATGTCCAGATCCGTTCACTTGTTGAGAAAATTCGCAAAAAGCAAAAAGGTAAATATAAAAGACTCAAGGGTGGCTCTGAGTATTGATTTGCCTAAAGAATTGTCTGTTAATACATTAACAGCAAAAAGGAATTTTTCTTCTATGTTGTCATTGTATAATTTTTATGCAATACTATTATTTTGGATCCAAAAAAATTATCTTTATTCTCTGATATGCAGTTGGTTTTTACACTTGCAAGTGTTTTTGAAATATTCTGGTGGGCTTGACCACTGGCATTAACTATTTTAGTACTTAGAATTCTAAATGAATATCATAGACAGGTAATCCTATGAGAACTCAGTCTCAAAAGTAGAAAGAAAAGCTTGGGATTGTCTTCTCATCACAACCTGAAGAACTAGAAGTCCTTTTGAGAAGAACAGGCCTTTTTGATTCCTGATTTGTTGGTCTCTATAGAGGCCTCTGAACATTCTGAATTTGATTTTGTAACTATTTTATTCTTACATCAGCACATTACCAGACATAAAAATAGTTTCAGCAATACGAAATCATGACATTAAGGAATGACAAAAACATGTAAATGCACAAAATAAAGTCATCAGCTGGTAAATCTAAATCTGGTAATCTATATGCTATAATTCAAGGGCATAATTAAAGAAATGCTTATCGTATCACAGTTAATATAAAATTCTATTGCTAATTTTCCTAAGTTTCAGGTATGCTTATTTTTCAGACCAGAACAGTTTTCTTCCAGTATGGTCTGCAATAATGCACTGTTGATACTACTTTTTTTCATATTGATTTTGTTTTTCTTTGGAGTTATGCTCTAAAATAATTTTAACAAAATTATCTTCTTAGGACTGATATATTTTAATAGCTGAGGAATAACTTTTTAACCTTGCAATGAAAAGATTTGGGCTGGACATACCTGAAAAAGTCCTGAAATGATTCTTTCTTCTCTGGTATTTATGCAGTAACAGCAAAAAACCCAGACTGTATATAAATGGAGCTTGACTGGTTCATGGCATTGCTTGACAAAGCAAGTACTTAAGATGCTTGAAATTTCTTTTTCACACCTGTTTTTAATATATTTTGACTGATGCACAAAAATCTTACTTCATGAAAGGACTTAAAAACAGAATCACAGAATCAGTTAGGTTGGAAGAGGCCACAGTGGGTCATCTGGTCCAACCTCCCTGCTCAAGTAGAGCCAGCCTAGAGCACATGGCTCAGAGTTGTGTCCAGATGGTTCTTGAATGCCTCCAGTGAGGGAAAATCCACAGCCTCTCTGGGCAACCTGTTTCAGGGCTCAGTGACTTGCACAGGAAAGAAGTTCTTGTTGTGGTCTGCTCCTCAGGGCAGTGTCACAGCCCCAAGCCTGACAGAGCTCAAGAGATGTTTGGACAATGCTCTCAGGCACATGATGGGACTGTTGGGCATATCCTGTGCAGGGCCAGGAGTTGGCCTAGATGATCCTCAAGGATCCCTTCCAACTCTGATTCTTCTGATTCTGTATTTTATCACCTGAGCTTAACCAAACTTTCTTTGGGTGTAAGCATCTTGCTGATGACATTTTGTCCCTCATAAAATGGCCTGAGCATTTCAGGGGCCTTTAGACACTTGTGATGTGATGTAGAGTTTGGGTTGAAGAGGACACACAGAGATACAAAAGGAGCTGGCTGACTATAGCCAGGAACTGTTATGGGTAGATTCAAATGGAATGAGAGTAAAGGGGAAAAGCTGAGGAAATGAACAAGGCTTGTGATTTCACTGGTGGGCCACATACCTATTGGAGAAGCAGAGCTCTGTGATGTCAGGAGGATGATCAGTCCTTAGATATTTTAGTAGATACATATGTACAGGAAAAGGCTTAACTGTCTTGTATGTGAGAGAAGGAGCTTAAGATCTGCTTACCATCATTTGCAGTGCTAAATTACTGCAATTGCAGCTTAACTCTCGTTCCTCCTTGTGTCTGTATCAACATATTCTGGTGATTGCAGTTATCATTGATACTAAGCTTTGGAAATACTTTCTCTTTTCTTATTTAAAAGTTAAAAAGAAGGAGAGCTTCATATTTCATCACAGCTCAATTTAGGTGGTGGTGTTTTTAAGATGACTGGTAAGCCAGTTTGGCACAGGATTGAAGCTGATGAAAATTGGGTATGACATCTGTAGAGTATTGAGTAACACTTAACAAAGACAAGATCTGACTCAGCTGCTTCAAAGTAGAACTGCTGTGAGGTAGCAGATAGCTTTTTATATGGGGTTTTATATTGAACTTCTGTGTCTTTCTAGATCCTCATACTTCTGCATTTGTTTTTTTAATAAATTGTGTATATAGGTTTGTCTGTTGTCTTTGATGGAAAAAGAGATGACTATTTCCCTGAATTGATAAAGTGGGCAACTGAAAACGGAGCATCCACAGAGGGTTTTGAAATAGCTAACTTTGAAGAGGAGGGATTTGGGTTGAAAGCAACAAGGGAGATAAAGGTGAGCATGTGAACATTTGACTTACATTCCAAACACAATGTTGTAATCTATCAGCAGAGCTCTGAAATACTCACCAACTTCCCCTCCCCCTGTTAAGTGCTTTGGAAACTGCTGTTCTGAAATGTTCTCAGCTCTGCATACTTGAGAAATAAAATAATTTATAAAATTGAATATTATTTTTTGATGACTATGGATAATGTGGTGAATTTGTAATCAATCTTTCCCTCTTTTTTTTAATGTCTATACTCTTTACCTAACCACCAGAGTACTCTACCCTGTTGATGGATCCCTGTCTTCCATCTTTTCTAACTATTTAGTCTCTTCTCCTCTTTTTTTCACGTCCCTTCTTTTAAAAAACTGGTCTTTTGGCCTCAGAGGTATTTGCAATACCTATTTTCCAGTGAAAATGAACAAAACCCCAAAATTATGATAATTGCAAAGAATGTCTTTTTATCATCAGGAAAGGAATATACACACAGTTAGCTAACTGTTAAAATTTAAGCATCTTTCTGTTCCCAATTTCCAGATGGGAAACAGCTTTGAAGTCCAATCAGCTGTTGTAGAAAGAATATTAGAAAAGGAGCATATTATATTCATTTTAGGACTTTAGTAGCACACTGAAGGTTTCTATAGGTGATAGAAATCCTGAGCAGTTCTTCTAGAATACGAATGATCAATGTGAAAAAAGTCTACTGTGAGAAAATACTTGATCACATGATTATTAGCAGTATAATGTATCTGCTAGCTGGAAAGTTGTGTGGGCAGTCTACATGTTAGCAGTTCCAAACTGTAGCACTTTATTTTGTAATCTGTCTGTGTTTAAAGCTCTGTGCAATACAGATTGGAACATTTGGTTGCCACAATATGAAACACAGCTTGTTTGTTTAATGTGCAGGGGAAGAGAAGGAAGAATTTGTATTCAGGATAATTTTGATTTAAAAAAACCCAAACTACTGGTAATTTAAAGTCAATGTATTTTTGAGACATATATCAATGCTAACTGACCCTCTCTGCACTTTTTCCTGTCTGTAGGCTGAAGAGTTGTTTCTGTGGGTTCCTAGAAAATTGTTGATGACGGTTGAGTCAGCTAAAAGTTCAGTCTTAGGTAAGAGCTTAAGGGAGTTCTTAAGCAAGAAGTTAATATGTATGAGATCATTCAGTAGGAGACTTTTTTTTTCGCTGATCTTCTTTATTACAGGACTTATGCCAACCATCAGCTTTGGAATACCTAGAAGCTTGAAGTGTCAGTGGAAAGAATTTAATTTCCCTCTTTGTTTCTGGCTGAGTGCACTAGATATCTTCAACAAGTGTGTGTTATTTTGAACACATATCATGTAGCTTGTATAACACTTGGAGATAAAATGTTCTGAAGCACTGAGGGTATTGTTCTTGTTTCTTCATGTCTTTGGTCATGCAATTGTACAGAAGGCAGCAGTGTCAAAAAACTTGCAACATAATACAGTGTAGGCAGCTAAGTGTGTTGGAAACCTTGAAAAGCTTATTTTTTTTGTTAAGTTCTTATATGTTATTTCATCATGTTGATTTAAAGTAAGTCTAGGATGATATTTTCCACGGACAATTAATTTAGTGCCTCACCTTTCTTGGTTAATTCAGGATCTCTGTATTCTCAAGATCGAATTCTTCAAGCCATGGGCAATATAACACTGGCATTTCATCTCCTTTGTGAGCGAGCCAACCCCAACTCTTTCTGGCTGCCCTACATCCAGACACTCCCCAATGAATATGATACTCCTCTCTATTTTGAAGAAGATGAAGTACAGTATCTTCAGTCAACTCAGGCCATACACGATGTTTTTAGCCAATATAAAAATACAGCTCGACAGTATGCCTATTTCTACAAAGTTATTCAGGTAAGCAGCTGAAATGTAGTTTATTACATGTTGTTCTCATGACCATTATTGAGGAAGATGTCAAAACAGTGATGGTAAAAAATATTGAATCATTAAAGCAATTTCCTGCTGTTTTTTGACGCTCTGTGAACATGTCGTGGTTCCGTTGGTTGAGGGAAGTGATTACTGCCCTTTGTTTGGCATTGGGTGAGCCTTCATCTGGAATATTGTGCCATTTTGCACCCACCAGCACAAAAGGCATGTTGACAAACTAGAATGAGTGGAGAGGGCTATTAAGATGTCATTTGGTTCAGCCCTTTATCCATATAGGAGACTGAGGGAAAAGGAGATAGTGAATGATCCAGTCATTGCTTTCATCTTGGTACTGGTAGCCAGTCTCCAGAACTTTACTTGTGGGAAGCTGTGCCAGGTGACCTACAGAGATCTACAACCTATGCCTCTGTGACTCTTTGAAACATGTATAGCTTGCACTTAACAAAGTAAAATTATCATTGTTAATTGACAGAATAAAACCATTGCATATGTTGTATTTCCAATGACAGAGGATTAACTGTTATCTACTGTTCTGTTTAACATAATTATTTTGATTGCTTTCAAAGACAAAGATAAACACATCTGGTAACAATTTGAGTATGGAGAGGCTTGAAGTGGGTGAACTTTTCATTGTGTTCTGAAGTAATGATCTAAACTGAGTTTCTAAGATAGAGCTCTGTTACTCTGACTGATATCAGGACATAACTGATGGTGTAAGTGAATGGTGATGTGTTGTTCTCAAGGTAGTGCTCCATGTCCAAACATCCAACGCTTTTTGTGGCATAATCTGTGTAGAAATCAAATGACTACTGAATTTCCCCAACTGTATGATCTGGAGACATTTTTTACTTCGGCCGTAGGGGAGCTCAGAAGACATAAGGCAATTCTATTCTCCTTTAGTGCTCCCAGAGCTCCAAAGCTTTTCTATTAACTGTTTTAATTCAACAAAAAATATTTTGTGTAGGTGTTTGGTATTTGAAGAATTGAATATGTTTCAAACACCGTTCAGTTTACCACACATAAGGTTTTGAAAACTGAAGTAATTGAAAATAATGGGTGAAAGCCAAATCAGATGCACAAGGAGTAGGTAGAACAATGGCTTTACTGTCAGGAGGGAATATAATTCTTCTTTCCAGGTGTCACAATTCACTCTTTTCCTGCCATGCACTATCCTAGGCTGCTGGTCCACACTTGACCTTCTAGTCTTTCATTTCGTTTCTCAAAGTATACTGCTCAAGCAAACTGAGCTTCTAAAGTTTGTGTCTCTAGAATGTCTTTACCCCTAAAGAGGTCTTCTGTTTCTAAAGTTACTAGCAGAATATTGTGTAACATTGTCCAATTACTGCAACTGCTGTTCTTGCTCTTGCAGTACTTAATCAGATAGTTGAATTACCACTATGATTAGTTCCATCATTTTCATTGACTAATCCTGCACTAGTAGCATTATTATCGATCCATCAAGATTGGAGGAGACATGAGATCATTGAGTCCAACCATTAACCTGTCACTGCTGGAACCCCTAAACCATATACTCCAGTGCCAGATCCAGACACCTTCTAAACTGTTCAGAGATGGTGACTCTACCACCTCCTTGCGATTATGTTAGAGGTTATATGACCACAATGTTAATTATAAAAACCTCTGAAACACAGTTTTACAGAGAAATGAGATCTGGAAGGAAACCTTTTGCCTGCCATGTGTCCAGCATTTCAGAACTGCTTCTCAGTGATTGATGAGTGCACACAGACTGATAGCAAAGTGATGCAAGCACAGCTGAAGAAAGTTTATAAAATGCAGCAGTATAACATCAGTTGAAGCATGAAATATCTATTATGTGAAAAGCATCTTACACGTCTGACAAAACAGTTTTTGTTTATGAAAGTTTCATGTGGCACATCATCTGCTTAAGAATGGCAAACAGATGCTATTTCTCTTACTGTCCCTTAGAGCTACCCAAGGGTCGTTTGTATAACATTTAAGCTAATGTGGTCTAAGTAATGTATCACTAAAAAATGATTTATATTCCACATCAGAGTCTACTGTTAGCTGTTAAGAAAAGGTACAGTTGGAGCAAAGAAAATAATGTATATGACATGACTTTAGGGGCAGACTGTGTTTAGAACCCCCGAGCTGGGGATGTGCTGTACTCAGTAACAAGCCTTTAATACTGTGCATTGCTATGTTTTCTGGTGTACATTTACAATTCTGTGGAAGCTGATATGGCAGCTCATGGAGGAAGACTTCACAGACCAATACTGTTGAGACTGATTTGGTTCAGTTTGATCTGCATCAGTGGGAAGCCTTTATGTAATGTTTAAATGTTAAGATAAATGGCTATCTGCTCTATGAGCTTTACATTAGTATACCCAACAAAGTGTTTAGCACTGTCCTGTTGCCTTTTGTATGAACTGTTAAAATGTAGGTTCTGGTCACATGTGGTCAGAAAACTAGATCAGATTGTTTTTTCATTCTCCTGACAAATGCTTTTATTGCTTGTTTTGTGTTCTTGTATAATATAGCTGTTGTTCACATTGAAAATGAGCATGAATGTAGATCAGGTAGGAATCATTTGCTTTACTTATTTTTTTGGAGAATGAGAGGCAATAAAGATTAGGTAAATTTTAGGTGTGTTCAGGTTGTTTGGTGCACTGCCATGTAACCACAATTTCAACTGAGTGTTTCTTTACTAGCATTCAGTAAATGTCACATTAGAATCATAGAATGTAAGGGTTGGTATGGACCTTACAGATCATCTAGTGTCAACCCCTGCCCTGGGCAGGGACACCTCCTCACTAGATCAGGTTGCTCAAGGCTCATCCAGCCTGGTCTTGAACACTGCCAGGGTTGGGGCAGCCACCACATCCCTGGGCAACCTGTGCCAGTGTCTCACCACCCTCACAGGAAAAAACATTTTTCTAATATCTAACCTAAACTTCCCCTCCTTCAGTTTGAACCCACTACCCCTTGTCCTATCACTGCAGTTCCTAACACAGAGTCCTCTCTGGCTCCTTGTAGCCTCTTCAGATATTGAAAAGTTGCTGTGAGGTCTCCATGCAGTCTTCTCTTCTCCAGGCTGAACAGCCCCAACTCCCTCAGCCTGTCCTCACAGGGGAGATGCTCCAGTCCTCTTACCAACTTTGTGGCCTCCTCTGCACTTGCTCCAACAGTTCTATGTCCTTCTTATGTTGAGGACACCAGAACTGCACACAGTATTCCAGGTGGGTCTCACAAAAGCAGAGTAGAGGAGAAGAATCATCTCTCTTGGCCTACTTAGAAAGGTCAGCTGGCTCCAGGAGTCCCAACTGTGTGTTCTGGTTACCTAGTATTAATGATTGTGATGAAAACTTATGGGAAAGTTTGAAAACTTTTTGATTTCTATTTCTCCTCTCAAGCATAAGAGCTTGTAATTTATGAAGTGATGGAGAAAAAAGTTTCACCAAGGAAAAAAAATAAAAACCATTTTCTTCCCTAAAACAAAGTACCACTTTTCATTCTTCAGAAAAGCTGAAATTAATTTTAGTATCATAGCATTTTGGGAACAAAGTTGACCCACAAAATTCTAGTGCTAAGGGCAATTCATGAGAGCATATGGAAAAGGGAAGAAGAGGTGGCGAGAGAAAAATTCATCATATAAATGAAAAAAGCAAAGCCAACCACTTTCCTGTTGAAGGCAATGTTAGATTTTTGTGTACCATCTTTTCATTCAGTACTGCTACTGCTTTAGCAGAAGCATTTTAATGAAAGCTGTTCCTTGTGACCAGGATTTTGATACTGCTTCCAGTATGCGGAATAATAATTTTTTAAAATTTACAAATGCATTTTTTATACTGCAAAAATCTTAAACCTATATTTGTTTTCTTGATCGATGTTTTACTGAAGAAAGTGAAACTAGCAGCATCTGATAATAAAAGGGGTTTTGTTGATATTTGAAAACACTGGAAAAGGGAGTATTTTGTGCAGGCAACATAGTTTAATTGCAGCATTTTTAGTCTACGAAATCTTTCTAATGGCTGGGGGAATAAAAGGATTAAATCATTTCTTCCAATGCTTCATTTTCTTTCCAAATAGGATTGCTAGACTGTTATTAAAAGAATTTGGCTTCTGATAGGTGTGCAGTTTTAAACATTGGCTGAGAAGTGCTGGTCTGTTTTATTTCCTCAGCTTCTCTGTAAGGATGACTTTCTCAGAGTGCTGCAGTTCTAACTCTTTCTCCAAGTGCTTAGTCTGGATACACATGAAGAATGGGCAGATTTATGAATTTCACAGCTGTTGCAAGCTAAACTGTAGTCTGGTTTGATAAGCAGAAACAGGTGGGTTGTTGAGTAGACAAAAATAAACCCTTGAGCATGTTAGCCAGGCTCTATAAACCACACTGACACCTCTCTAAACATATGCAATTTGATAACTAAAAAAAGAGTTAAAAGTTCTTACAGATGTTCTTTAAAGGTGCATTTGGTCCCTGCATTGCTATCAAAATACAGGGAATGGTCAAAAGACTAGTTCCATCACTGCAGACTTGTAGTTTGCAAGATGTTTTTGTAGTTTTTTGCAGAGAGAAGTTTTGTAAGCTGCAGGGTTTTCTCAGGGGAAGAGAAAGGAAGGTTATGTGTGTGACTGCCATTAACATTTATGGGCATTGCATGCCTGCTGAAGGGTGAGCAGAGCACAGATATTTATGGCTTAATCTGAAAAAAATTTTATGTACACTGAAATGTGGTGTAATAGGCACAAGAGGGAGCCATATAGTTTACAGACATTCACAGGGAGATTATATTCCTAAAGAAAATACAACGAAGTTTGCACCTTTTTTAAAAGAATATGCTTTTGTGCTTGTCAGGTGCATAGAATCATAGAATCAGCCGGGT